TTACTTTACAGATTGATATGATATTTGATCAAATATGATATTTAAATACTCAACAGTATGTTAAATATTAGAATTTACACCATATTTGATTACTACAGTATTATATAATATTAATTAATAATTTAGCTGATTCTTTGACTTGTAATGGAGAATTTTGACATTGTTGTCTCATTTTCTTTCATTTTTCGTTTACTTTGATGGATTTCATTGGGATGTACGGTGAAAACTGAGGTACAAACTGAGGTAGGTATTTATGTTAAACAATAGGTTTATTTATACAATATTTTTGTAAAGGAGTAGTGCTTATACATTTACTCATCCATATTCATAACATGTTGTTAATTTAGAGTTAGCTTTTTGTGTTTGCTGTCTGTTCTCGTTTGGTTGTCTTATATCTTTTAGTTTGACATGTGAAACTAAATCTATATCTTCTTCTACCACTAATCATATATCACCCATGTCCTATGTGAACCATGTCCTAGTTTCTGACTATGAAGGGTGAAGATATTTATCTCAGGGACACCAACGTATCTTTAATGAGCTATAAATATAGGAACAGAAAAAATGCCTCACTTAAAATAATCGTGCGCCATCTTGTAAACTTGTTTATGTATTTCTGCTTTGACTCAACCTCCTTGTTGTCTTCTGTAGTCAAAGCAGAGTAAGTTTATACTGTGAAAGGTCAAAGCAAGCATTTCCTACTTGCCCATCGGAGCCCTCTTGAATGTTTAATTGCGTTGAGTTTCTCCTACTGTAGGTCATACCGTCCTCAAAGATCACATTTCCAGACACCACTGACTCACTGTGCTACATGTCGCTTCCCTGCGAGCGTGCTATCACTCGGTTATTTGTTGTGGCATGTCTGACCTGGGACCGAATACAAGCAGCACTAAATCATTTTCTGAAGGAGACCACCCTATGTGGAGACCTTTAAAAGGGACACTCATAAACAGTGAGCAGTCATAAAGTGACAAATAAAGAAAACAAACTACTTGATGAATGCAAGACTTCTGTAGAAGCTGCTTTACATAATATAAGTTCCACTAGAAGTGGCACACAAAACGTTTGCCCTTGATGATGCTCAGTTCTTAGCTATTCTTTTTTCTAAAGAATAAGTGCACATACGCTGCAGTAAATCTGAAGCCGCTGGGCTCCACGGATGTTAAAATGCATATCTGAGTAGCTCACGTTGTGCCGCAGTGAAGCATAAACAGTTGGGTGTGTCAGTAAGTAAAGAGTTTAATTACAGACAAACACACTACCCCTCCCTGCAGAGAAGATATGGGATGGGAAGCAAATATAGCCCGCTGTCAGATGCCACTGAGCACATAGGGCTAACTCTCTTACATCAAAAACAAATATGATTCCAAGTCTCATACAACAACAAACAAGGCATGTTTTTGCAATCAATTCCTGTTTTTTCAACAGCAGCAAATACAATATGACAGTATGATTAAATTACTCACATATTTTAAAGCATTTTCTATGATGAAAAGCTGTATAATACATCATAAAGATATCTTTATGACCTTGTGGTGCAGTGATAAGAAGTTAGAGAGATGTCATAAAAGTGAAACATGTACTTAAATTAGATATATAAACTGTGAACATTTTTGTTTACATTAATTATCGTAACTTTTAGTTTTCCCGATAGCAATTTGGTAACTGTTTTTCCTCATTGTGTGACAGGAAATAACAGGATAAGTATCAAGTAGCCGTCGGCTGAGTATAAACGGTGTCTATGTGTTTATGTGTGAAAGCCCAGAAGGTTGCAGGGTGGTAGACGGCTAAATGGGAGGGTTAATAGTGCAGATAGATTGAAATCTCATTTATTTATGGTCTATTTTTTACTGTAGAATCTTGCTTTGAAGTTCAAATCTTCATTGAAAGCTATAACCATTATAACTGAAAAGGCCAGTGGAAAGTAAAGTCAGGTCAGAGATATTACTTCAGCTTTACAGAAAATCCCCAGAAAGAGGCTTTTTATCATTTATTTATTTATTATTTTCAATAGAAACACATATTTTCCAGACACCTCTTACCTTCCCCAGACTATTCTTCAACCCGTCCATTTCTGATTTAAATGCATGTCCATCCAGAAGTGTATTGCTTATTTCCAGGATCCGGGAAAAAAAGTGCTCAAAGTTTAAAAATGTATCAAAGCAGATACGGGTAAAGCAAGCTGCACACCTTTCAGCCCCTCTTGCAAAGTTCAAAGTGTATCACTGTTGGGTTGTGTATCACCCTGCAGATTTCCTTTTATAGACACATAATAGCTACAAATAGCTTGCAGACAGCAGTCAGCCTGCTGGGCACCAGTAACAATGTTCATGCTCGGAACTCCAAAACACAACATATCTCTGGATAGTTTTAAGTCTTATTTGACTAAAATCAACTTAATATGTCTAAGGGTTGTGTATTCCTTTTCAGCATGGGGCTGTCATACATTTTATAACGCACCATATGACTGACACCATGCTGTATAGACCAATATCTTGGCTGACTGAGCTCATATCATAAATAAGACAAGAAGAGATGATGGTATCGATTGCCCAATGGAAAACGCTGCTGAGAGAATGAGTGCTGAGGAGAACAAATATTTCAATTACTTTTTTCATTAAAATGTTGTTATGAAACATTTATGACATGTTTTTAGTACAGGTTTGCTGTGAAAGCCATGCATTGTGTGGTGAAGCTGATCAACTGACAATAAATAGAAAACGAAATTATCTCTGAACTTGCATGTCTGAGAGACATAATGTTTTCTAATACTCAGAACAAGGTGTCCATTAAGTCATCAGACTGACGTGACAAATATATCTCAGCATGTTTTCAGTAATGACTTATCGGGGGGGGGGCTTGAAACAAATGTATTCACTTGCTTGTTCGAGGTGGCATCGACTTTTCTGTTCCCTTATCAGTGAGTGAAAGCAGACCTTGTACTAATCCTTTAAGTACACTACATTCTTCATTCCTGTCACAGCTGTTCTTGTCTATTTCCACTCTGCCGCCCCCCCTGTCTCACTGTGGCAGCCGCACAGAGAGAAAATCACAATAAGAAAAAAGCATACGCCTGTTCCTCGGGATAAAAATTATCTGACTGGTCCCTGAAATATAACATTTTTTAAAGTTTTTGAGCAGGACATTTTAAGCATTTTGATAGCAGCTTACCTAAATGACATCCTCTAACTATACATGGTTTTCATATAATCCGGTTTCCTCTAATTATTATTCAGTATCTGTTGAAATGGCAGAATGTCACATCTATGCTTTGATTTCTGGCATGGAGTATTAGCTTTTAGCCTCAAGGGAGTTCTCTGCTACTGGGACAATAAATTATTCGCTAAGGAAAGCCAGCAGAGATAAGCCTCAAATGTGCAGTATTTATCATTATGTAATGAGACATATGCTAAAATCCACCCCCACCCCAAACAAAACTTATTAAATACAAGTCTGTGAAACTGTTTTTAGACAAATAGTTCACTGCTGATAAATAGACTACACACTGAACATGTGCTGATGCATGACATAGCGTTATTAATGATGACCAAATTTTAGCTTGTGTCCAGTGTTTGTGCATATTATAATAATCTAGAATGAACCAGAGAGAGCACAGATCAAAAGAAAAGAGAGGGAATCAAAGAACATGGCTGCTGCAAGCTCTTTTTGACTCTCCTCATAAATAATGTCACTGTCGGAATGATTTTCCTTTGTATGACCGGGGAGAGGGATATACGCTACAGCCTGGTGTGAAAGAGACTTTGTAACACAGTCCTAAAATCTGCACATTGGCTCTGTTTTGTAAGATGATGACAGCTGATATTGCCGAATGAAATTATAGTTGTCTCTCCCTTGCAGATTTGTTCAACTGCAGCTAGCTAGCTAAACCCGGCAACATTTGCTCCATGGGTTTTCCCATATACAACACAAAAAAAGGTCTTAAGGGATGAGGACACTTAATTTCTGCAAACCAAAAACAATCTCTGGTAATTAAGTGGTAAATATTGCTGCAGTTTAAAATGTAAGTTCCTCAAAATCTCTAAAGAGCAGGCCAGAGCTTTAGCGTTAGCCTGTTAGTCTCCACTCTCCAGGATCAGATTCTAGGCTAGTGAACTTTTATTTAGAATTAAATAAGTAAGTTATTAGTTTAAGAAGTATACCTACTCCTTGGTCATGTAAGTTATGCTCAATTTATTTGGGTAGGAAGCTACTACTAGATCACTTATGTTATGTAGCATGTGTGTCTGCAAACACTGCAATCATTTCCTAATAATTTACAATTCAATATGAATCAGTAATTATTATGAATAATTATCGAATAACAAAAATGTGTGCCATATCACATGGAAATATTATTCGCAATGTTTTTGAGCAGAAGAAAACAAACACTGGATATAAAACCAATGTTCCAAGAGGTAGTACCAGTGTTATTACAGTCATCGAAATCCTCTCTCATCCTCCTCAGTTCCTCCCACTGACTCTACATGAATGCCTCTTGACAGACAAACACTCACAATATGAACCGGGGCAGCCAGTAATTGACTCTGGATGGATTCTCGCACGCTGGATGTGCTTTCCAACAAGTTGTGTCCCCGGGTTATTATCACCCAGCAGACAGTCATCTCCGCAGAGCTTCACTGATCAAACAACAGCATATCAGTGCTGGTGTATTTGGTCAAGAGCAAGACCGCAGGGGGAGGACACAATAATAGGAACATTTAACACACAATATGGTGCAATCCTGTGCAACAACACTGCAAATTACAACCTCAAAATATCTGCCAAACAAACACCTTCCTGTCACACTTTCAGTAGGAATTGATCGAAATGATTGTTTTTGCAAGAGTAAAAATAAATTGCCGTACATTTTGTAGGGGAATGCATGACAGCGTGGATTTGATTGTTATGCAGCTGAAAGAAAAGAAAGGCCTCTAGGAACAACATATTTGTGCTTTATTGAGAAAGTGAACACAGAACTATAAACTGTTTTTGCTGTGAGAATGAAAGAGCTGTGAAACAACACAAAGCAGGTAATGATAAGCAAGATGTTCTGTTTTTCTCTTTTCAAAAGGCAGAGTGTGTAATCCCATCAATCTGGATGTTGTGAGAGGGAATTAAGTTAATTCTGCATCAGGACTCTGCAGGAAGCGGACGGCATGGTGTTCCGCAGTGTGGCATTATATCTCAGTACACACTATAAAAGCTTTGAGTGCTTCACACTGTCATGGGCGGTGACACTATTTCAGCCAGCACATCCATTATTTACAGCACATCCATTATTTACAGCACAGCGGTGAGAAGTAGAGGTAGCCAGCAGCATTCATTGTTTAATTGATTGTATTTCATATTACGACATGTACAGTAATTCATTTGGGCATTCTTATCATGATCTCCAGTCTCTGTTCTATTGAGTTGTACAGGGAAAACTCTGTGGTTTTAGTAATAAAAATAAACTCTAATATCACTACATTATGCATGTAAATCATTCCAGCAGTTTGGAAAGTAACATTACAAAAGAAAAGAGCCGGGTTATAACAGTCTATGTCTATTCATTTATGTCCCCCTACTCACTGGTCAAGGTGGGTAGAAAGCGCTGTCAAAACAGTGTGAGTGTGTGTCATGAATTTCAGAGTCATGTAAAGTCTCTCTGCTGGGGATCTGTGTCAAAAGCTCCACATCTTCATCCGAGGTAGAGGGATGAGTGAGAATAATCCGAGGGATCTGTCAGATAATTGTCAGAGAAGGAAACAGGATTCGGGAGGAAAATAAGCAAGTGATTTGATACAGTGCTGAAATGTCAGAAAAATCAATTGCTGATATTATCCAAAAACAATTTAATGTCTTTTTACTGAGGGAGAGGATAAAATTAGGTGATTATAACATTAACATTTGTAACATTATATTAAGAGTGGTATCTTTACTGAGGAATGAATGTGCTTACTGTCATTGTGTGTTTCCCTCCCTGATGTGAATCATTTTTCATCAATGTCTGCGCCTTCGGTTCAGAAAAGTTCCTGCTCAGCTCGCTATACAAATCAGACTGAAACACAGAGAGACAAAGACAAAAGAAGGGTAAAAGAAGGATTGCTTTTGAAGGCGTAATTCCCACTTGACTTGAGACAGATGTGGGTACAAGTCATTGTACTGCAAGCGCTCAAATCCCAAATCAAATCCCAAGTCGGGTCTCAAGCCAGGACATGCAATTTTCAACTCAAGAACGTGTCAAAACAAGTCCCAAGTTAACTTTTAACTTGGGGGAAGGTATCGATATCTATTTTTAAATGTAAAGGTTTAGGTCAAAGTATGTTTAGGTCATTACGTCATTACATGTGTGACTCAAATCTAAGTGATCTGAAACAAGTCCACACATCTTGCTTGATGTTCATTTTGAAACAACCTTTAAAACAAATATTCAGTTTGTGCTGTGATTGGAGAACAGCACTCACAATGCCATTGCCGTTGCAGACACTCTTCTCAATCTTCTTAGACAAACAGAAATCGGTGTTCTCCATCTTTGGCTGTTTTCCTCTCTGGCTCCCGCCTTCTTGGCTGCCCGGCTGTCGGCTTGCCACGTCCCAAAGATCCTTGTGCTCCCCCCGGTCACACAAGTCTCGAGATAGCAGCCTCTCTCTGAGCACTTTCATCTTGATGCAGCTCCCAGCATTCCTGAGGGCAGTGACTGCCCCATGGTGGGTCACCAGCTGCATATTGAGGCCATTGACCTGGAAGGCAGTGGTCACATTAAACTTTCAGGGGTCAGTGAAAGTAGGATCAGGAGTTAGAGGTGAGACATTAAATCACGCACTCACACACAGCATCTCCAAATAGCATGGCTGTTCAAGTCAAGGTCATTTCATTTATAAATCTCAATGTAACTTAGCACAAATTTGCCTCACAAAGATTTGAATTCCCAATGAAGACACTGATAAGAATCACTTTCTCTGCCAATGTCTGAATCTAAATATTTATTTTGTATTTTCATTTGCTTGTTTTTTATTTGTAAGTCTCATATTGGGGTTGCGGAAGCCCCAGCAGTGTCTCTGCTGGTCCTATGATGCCCTCCATTGGTCACAAGAGAAACACCAGTGGGAGGTTTCATAATGATATTCTTGCAGCAAGTAAAAAGTAATTTCACACACTTTGTAATGGATAGGAAATCACAAACATGAGTTTACAAATATATTTTAAAAAGTATTCCCAGCCTACCTCCAGCAATCTATCTCCAACATGGACCCCAGCCTTTTCTGACGCCCCCCCTTTATTTACTCTGGAAATAAAAATACCCTGAAGGGAAATAGACATGTTAGAGAGTGAATGGGTTGAAATAATGATCTAAAAACAAATGTGTGTTTGTGAATTTGAATATGTATTGTAGACATTTTGTTTGGTTTAGCACGAAGAAAGGGATAAAGTAGAAATGACACACATAAACACAAATACTAAGCACATTTACTATAGTACCGGTGTTCTTTTTTAAATATGTTATGAAATACAAGTAATGTGCATATGTTGATGGAGAGGGAAGGTCATTTATGGCATATAGTCCAAGAGTTGTAGGAAAATGAAAGGCCTTTGAGTATGAATGGCCTTTAGAGTTTATTATTTAGAAGTTACTTAATACATTGCATAGGCTTGACGACATGTTTGACCATCTTTCTATAAACGTTGGAAATAGTTGAAAGATAGAATGTATTGAACAGGCTAACTTATGGCTATGTGATGTACTGTATGTGTCAAAACAGTATATTGTTCAATTGCTCAAGGTTTCTTCTCATTACCTTCAGCCAATGATCACACATGTTGCAGGAGATCTTCTTACCTCATCGTGGTCTTTGTAAGGCATTGAGCCTATTCCACCAGCAATGCTGATTCCCAAACCACCACTCTGGCCGGACACTTTGATCTGTAATTTGGAGGAAATTGGGAATGAAAAGCTAGAATCTATTAACATAACACGCCTGAGTGAGGCAACTCGAACAAAAATTACATTAGCAACAATTTGCCACAATCAATAGAGTCTCCAGCAGCCCCTTCTAATGCAGGCCCAAAGAGATAGATAAACACTGAAGAAGACACAGCGTGCAGTTACTCTTAATGGCACTTCAGAGGCCAATGATTCCTGAGGAAGGGTCGTCTCCGTCACTGAAGAAGACTTCCCTGTGATGGAGGAGGTCTTTAGGTCGGGGCTGGGGTCTCCATGGTGACCAGACCCTGCATTAAGAGCTCTTTGATGCTGACACTTCCTCCCGTCTCGGGTTTCGACCCTCTGAGGGCAAAACCGCCGTGGTATGGCATCGCTCTCTGCTGGCAGCTGGCCTGCAGCCTCCTGGGGATAAACAATAATCCAACACAGCCGTGGATGTTTCACTTTGAATTCACTAACAAGACATTCAATTCATATAAGGGATTAAAACAGATGCAGCCTTGATTTAAGGTCCCCAATTAGTATTAAACTGTACTTATTCAACTGATTTCTAAGAGTTTATAGATCAGGGGTGTCCAAACCTTTTTCACCGAGGGCCACATACAAAGAAATATACGAAGGGCTGGGCCACTCACTAGAGGTATATTGCCTCATAAATTCAGTTATAAGTCAGCAAAATCAATGAAAATGTAGGTAAATGATGCTTGTGAGTGTTGGCAGCTCATCCCTTAAAACAGAAGCCTCAGATTGATTATAATAAAGGAGAAATAGGAAGGGTGTATTCCAAGCTTGATATGTAAATAAGTCATTGGGCTTTTATGCTAAGATATGTTAGAAAATGTTTCCAACTTTAATTGACTGAATTTATTTGAAAAGTGGTTTTATTAACACACGAATACTACTGTAACATCGTTTTACAGTTATATTGAAGAACTACAATATAAGACAAGCACAAGTTTCATTTGTGGGCCATATTCCATTATACTTTTTGAATTTGCTGAGGGCCAATTCAAAATGGTCCACGGGCCGCATTTGGCCCCCGGGCCGTAGTTTGGACACCCCTGTTATACATGTATATTAACATTGTACATTGATGCCTTTGTCTTCTCTGAACAGATGACAGTTTTGTGAGTTTGCATTTCATTAAAAAATATATATATATATAAAATGATGACACATCTAGACTAAGTGTAATTCTGCTTCACAACAACAGTTGAGGATTATCAGCAGAGGAAGTGGCTGATAAGAAGATACCTGGAGTGGAAAAAAGACATCCTCATATTGCTCTGTGTCCTCTGCATCCTTCTCTGCGCTGGAGGAGCGAGCACACACTCCGGCGCTCACCAGGTTCCTCGTCTGCTGACGCCGTTTGTTCTCCCCCTGACCAAAGCCTGAGATCAGGGCCCAGTGCTGCCTACCGGAGCTGGGGGGCGGGTTAGTGTGAGGCTTTTGACACTCCTGGAGATAGTCAGGAGACGCCGGCCTTTGCTGAAAATGTAATTTCAATGTAATATATTGACGGAAATAAGAAGTGACAGTGTTGGATGAATACTTTGATAAAGCCACGTCCATCATAATGATGCGTAAACTGGTCATGTGAAGTCCGGTCATAATAAAAGTCAGATAGTACAACATATCCAAGCTGACCCTAGAAAAATGCTCATGCTTTCTAGAAGGGCAGCATTTATATTTATTATTTGAGACAAAAACAATAGTAAAATCCTGCTTAATTTTCAACATGCAAGCTTATATTGTTGCACCAGGGGGCGCAGAGTGCAAATCCAATACTCTTACTGGTACAATTGTTTTGAAGAGCTAAAGCAGTCAAGCTGGAAGATTGATATCAAAAGCTTAATTTGTCTTTTTCTCTGCCCTTTTGCCAACATGTTTCTTTTGTTGCTTCTTTAGGAGGCAGAGAAAGAGAGATTATCTGTTTTTTAACCTAACTGATAACTCAAACACCACATTTTTCATTTTCAAACAGAAATGTACAATGAGATTTTTTAAATGAAAGTGCATATGCAACAAACATCATACTGTATACATACATGTATATATACATTCAGTCTTTACTCTCCCAGTGGCAGTACAACATGCAGCACGTGCAGGGTAGACAAGTCAAATACATGCTGGCAGAGCTTTGCAGAAACACCGTGCACTGCTGGACAGACAGAAGCAATGGAGGGGGGTCAGGAAATGGAATATATGATTTGTTTCCTCAAAGAAAACCACATTTTACGGTATTTTTGGTTATAGGTTAAAAGAAAGACCACACCAGATGTACCTTATATTATTGTAAATCAGATTGTCTCTGAACTCAATAATTGAAAAGGAATAAGAAACATACTGTTTAGTGTTGCACTCATTTTATTGATCAGTGGTTCAAAAAAGTCATCCAAATCTCCAGGCACAGTGTCTGTTTGAGATCTGTTTTGTGCAGTTTGATCAGAAAATAATTAAAAACATAAAAGCCAACACTTGAACCAATTTCTCTGGTCCACTTTTTGCACTCAATTTAAAAACAAAATAATACAAATGATCGTGTACCATGTAAATAATTTGAGAAGCACTGAGAAGTGCATTAAAGTTCAACTTCTAACAACCGCATTTTTAAAAGGATGCCATCCTTGTGGTACGAACCTCATTTTCACCAAAACCTAAGATGATTATTATTATTATTATTATTATTATATACAGTACTCTTAGTTAAAAAGGAAAGACAAACCTTTTTAAAAAATAATATACAACTGTTTTTGGCATCTATTTGAAAAACATTGCAAAGATGTGAAGCACAGCACATATAAATAAGACAGCATCGTTACTTCTGCTTTATTAGTTTGCAGGCGAGTAATTAATGGTTGATGTGCAGTACTTAAATCCAAACTTAATTAAATCTAGTTATTATCCAAAAATAGGTCTAGATGTTTTACAGATCAACAAAGAGTTTGCAAGGCCTTCCACTCACCCAATGACAACTGTATGGATTGAATAAGACATCAGTGACTGTGTTTTATCATTTCGTTGATTTAAAAAAAAGGAAAAAAGTACCAACTTAAAAATCTGCATCTGATTAATAAATGTGCTATACATATTTATTTACATCTGAGCTGCCAAAAAGTATAAAAGTATCAATATTCACAAGAGACTATACAAGAATCCTTAATCAGTAGGTCCAAAAACTCCTGCTTTTATGTTTGCCCAAAATGTAAAAAGAATTCACCCAGTGTTTTAAAAATAGATAAAGAACAAATATATAAGACATTTATGAAGGTTTGACCGTATTATAAAGACTTATAATAGTGCAACTACCTAATGTGTATTTTTAAAAAGAGGTATTAAAAAAGTAATACATCTGTAAAATATTTTAAAAGGAGCATCTCTGTGCAGATTATTGCTGCTGACATTAATTACAAAGAGGAAGGCACAGCGGCCCTGGCAGACGGACACGTTTTACGCAGGACTGGAGAAGGAGTACAGGCAGTACACTTACAGGCGTCCCGGGGTTTAATCAGAGGAGGGGTAGGCCACACCGGGGGTCGTAAAAAAAAAAAAAAAAGGGTCTGTGGGGTTGTGCGGGACGACATGGCG